AGCATGACACATTACTAACTACGCCATACGGGCTGGGTAATTGCTCCCTATGCCTCGCTTTTTCATCTCCACTTTTTTGACTACTACTCTACTTTTTTAAGAGAGCAATTGTAATGGATCTAAGACAGTTGCAATGGCAGACTTCTACCTAAAACGACATAAATGATTTCATTGCTGAATAGCCACCGGTGTACTATTCATTCAAAAAATATGTACATACATAGATGCTATGCAGGGTATGTGTGAATGTTGTTTGTGTGAGTGTGTGTTTTAACGTTTAAAGCATGACAGAAGGAGGAAATAATACAAGAAAGAGTGAATCAAAGTCAACCAATAATGCATATGTAAATAAAATGAGAGACACAGTTCTCAACCGACTTATGCAGTACCATCTTATGTATCTTAGCTTCTGTAGATCATTTTGTAACTCTCCATATTGAAACGCATATAAAAATATTGCGAGTCTTTCGTCTAAATCCATACAGCCGTTTCTGAAAGATAAAAGGGCTGGCATGGTTCCCGTTTTTCGTTTCATCAAATTTACCATCACACTATACCGCTAGAAAAAACTTTTAACTTAAAAAAAATATAATATTATTGCATCCGGTGGCCTTCACTAAAATGACTTCGCGTAGTATTAGTATATATGTATGCATATATTTACATATTTAGATAGATATTTATTTTCGAGCAGGTGTAAACCCTAATCAAAAATAAAGTCAAACTAGAACTCTTAAAACTCTTTCGTAAAGTAAATAGAATAACTAAACTCGAGTTTTGAAACATGTGGCAACCCACTTCAAAACTATTTTCAAACTAATACCTTCTTAAACTCTTTTATCTGGCACCCACATGATGATACATATTTAAATTACCTAATTCGCTTAGTTCAAATTAAATTTTATTTTGTAAACCGGTGGCTACTTTCCTATATATAGTAAAGCAAAAATGCATTTAAAACTTATTTTGATTGATACCCATTTTTGATTGATATCACTTTTTAAATAATTTGAATTTTTTTCGAAAAAGTAAAACCCTATTGCACATCTAGCCCTTTAATTTGATAGCTCATTTTTGAAAATCGAACTTGGACAAAAAATCGCCTTGCGTATTATGTATATAAACAGCAGTTTACTTAGATGGGACACTTTTACTTGAAATAATAATGTCATAGTGAAAATTTAACAAATCACTATACACACACTGATACATCTACTGCGCTTTGTTTTTTATGTAACTTTCGTTGCCTGGTAATTTAATTTATTTAGAAGCGCTCTTCCCTTTGACGGCTGTCTCACACACCCAAGTTAAGCCTAGTACGGAGTGAAAAATTCATTATATGCGACAATGGTTACTCCAAAGGTACCCGAGAACATCTCCTGCATCACTACCTAGATTGTGGGATTTCACGGATCAACTAAGCCAACCCAACTTAAATTTTTTTACTTGAACTAAAGGACTTTTAATAAATATCAGCTCATAAGAAGATGGTACATTTAGATAAACATGTATTGTGCGTCATTTTTTGTATGAATAAGAACTAAACTTTCTGGATAATCAATAAAAAGAAAATATCCAAAAATGTTCACCCAGAAATACATCCATATAAAGGTTTTGAAGTTGAAAACCACTCAGCGGTACAATAAGCTTATATTTGCTATAACTCATCCCCAACATATTAGGGGTATTCTCCAAATCTTGCAAAGCCATTGCACGTAGCACGGATTGCATGGATTGCATAACTTGCAAACACACAACAACAAAATACATGGGAAACAACATGTCCTATCGCTGCAAAATATGCAACGTCGAAACCCATGTATATATTTTGCAAAATAGCATAGCAAGATAAGTGCGACCCTGAGCTAGTTGTTTTGTTGTTGGAATTACTACATATTTCTCTCATTCCTCTTATCTCGCTCACTTAATTTTTTTTTGCTGTGTATTGTTATTGTATTTGATACATAATTTCGCTGCTGCAACCCACTTTGCAAAGGGGTGCTCTCGTACTCTTCGAAATTTGGAATAGTATTTTTGCATTTCGTGAAATGGAAACAAACAATAATTGTAATTTATTATAACAATAATTCGAATTTAAAACGGGCTGTATAAAGAAAACCAGCCTATTTTCACTTCACGTCAAATGAGTGACGCGTTTATACTTGTTTTCTAATTGATATGAGAAACAAAAAAAAAACGATTTGAATACAAATTGAAGTCAATACACATTTCAATTTCAACGCCTTTTGAAATTTAGTCTATGCATCCGTTTTGAATCACAGCGAACTGGGTCAAAGCGCTTTATGTGTATGTGTATAAACAAGGTATATGTTGAAATAAAAGTGAAAATAAACAAATATTTTGTCAGAACCCTGGCAACGGTCCTGCCCTTAACCACATTCGTGTATTAAGAAAGTAGGTTCTGAAAACTGGTGGCAGCCGTTGTTCGCTATGTCAATACAGGCCGAGAGAATGGACACTATGCTGTAAAGGTCCTATTTGTGTGTAAGTGAAAGGCTCAAATATCATGACTCCAGCTAACCTGCGGCACGCGGCACATTATTGGTTGGACATGTACGCTATTAGTGACTCGGGTACGTTGTTGCTCATGTGGACATTTCATTTATGTCGATATTCTCCATGAAGTTTATTGAAATAATTTGTAGTGGAGTAAACGCTATGTTACTATGAACTTCAGTCTCTGACATGGTAAATTTGGGTTGATTTTTAACCGAATTCAAAAAAAAAGAAGAAGATTATGAAATCGTCGAAATATTTTGTTTTTTTGTATTATACACTGAGAAAGGTGTTTAGTTATGTCAACTAAATATGATTTTCTCAACATATAGTTTCGTTATAGTTTCATTATTTGGTATAGTTACAAATTATCCTTTAGTTCCGATAACTGAAACATGAAGAAACGAATGGGAAATTTTAATAGGAGCATTGAAGTCGATTGTGTTTTTGTTTCAAAATTTGCTTGTATGTGTATGTATGTGTATTACTCCCTCAGCCCTCAGGCCAACACCTGCGTATTAGTGTCACGCGTGAGCAGAAATTACAACCGATTGCTTGAATTGCTCGAAGCCTAACCTCAGATGATTGCATATTTGATGGGGGGTGTATATCAACACAACTTTCGTCAGAATTTTATGACAATGACAATTTAGGAGAAATAAATGATAAATAACGGAATGAGTGTGGAGTGATTGCCGGATGAGAATGGGAATGATGAAAGCTTTGGCATACGTGAGTAAACCGCGCTGGTGTGTGATACAACTGCGTAGGTGCTTTTGTAAAAATAAAATGCGTGTATGTTTGAGTGAGTGTCGTTCTACATACCCTGCAGTAAAATTTAGAGACAGTCTCTTAAAGCGCTAGTTCCGCCCTACACGTTTCAGAACCATCTCTGAACTAGTGCTAAAGGGCTGCAGAGAGGGACACATGAAACTCTCGGTGTGTTAGTTGCGCTCTGTTGAGAAGTGAATTCACAAATTCTCACTTCTCGTACAATACGAAAATAGCTCAGCGGGAAGACCTCCGACTCTAATCTCGTTGGTCACGAGTTCAAATCGTGGTGGAGGCAGTTGTGATTTTCAGATTTAATAAATATAATTGTTGAGTGCCGCTTAAAAATTAAAGAGAAAGTGATCAAATAATATAAAAAAAATAAAAAAAAAAAATAAAAATTTAATAGAATGCAATCTGTAAAACAGAAAAAACGAAAAAATATCAAAATATCGGATAATCAGTTTTTTTTTAAAATAAAAAACTTATTGTCGCAGATCTGTCTAAAATGGAACCAGTTCAGAATAGAAAAAAAATCTAATAATCGAGTTTTAAAATTTTTTCTCATAGAAAAACTTACTGTGCCAGAACTGTCCAAAATGGAACCAGTTTAGAACTAGTTCGAAAGTTCTGCAGAGGGGGGCAATTTCCACTTCGTAGGACATCGCCATGTAAAAAGAGACAGTTGAAAGCATTGCGTTGGGATATATCGAGAACCAGTCCCGCCTCTTACAGAGCTAGTTCTGCGCTAGTTCTGAACTAGCGCGATTTACTGCAGGGTATCTACACCTAATATGCATGTAGGTAATGCGTTGCAGCAACTGATGTGCGTAGTATGCCCATTTGTATGAATGGTTGTGTGTGTGTGCGCGATAAGTGCGGCACGTGCAAAAATTTATGTGAAACTTTCATGAGTGCCAACATTGCCAACCGTTCGTTCGAGTGTGAGGCATTACTCAAATGCTACACAAATTCATTTACAAACCAAAATGGCTACCACACAACATATATGTACATACATACATATGTAGGTAAATTGTAATTGTACTTTTTCCTTACAGTGTGCTAAAGACAGCGACAGATGTTTCGGTAGGCGCTTAGGCTTGAAAATGTCGACATTAAAATATCAACAACAATTTGTACGCAATAGTGGAGATAAGCATGCAGAGTCAAAGGCGTGGAAAAGTGTGTGTAAAAGAGCTGTTGAATGAAAGTAAAAACAACAAAATTTATTAAGAGAAGCAAGTGTGAACACATACTTATGTTTAAAAAGTTAACGGTGTATGCCGACACGTGTACAGAAATGTCCCTTGTGGCACATAACCCGCAAAAACTCTTAGTAAATACAAGAAGCCAACGAGCGAACATACATACATACATATGTATGTCAGGTGCGCTTCAGCGAGAGTGTGGCAAGTTGAATGCAGCCAAAAAAAACCGTCCAGCATTGCTCTAAAAATGCATAAAAATTAATATTTCAAATACAAAAACTACAATTGAACCGTTATAAAACCAAGCGCAGCACACAGTAAACGGAAGATTTAGTGAAAGGAAAAAAAATAAAGAAATAGCTATAAAAAATCGAATACCTTAAATGAGAGTTTAATATCCACGTAAGAGGTTTAAGTGAAAGTGTCTGAAAGGTAAAACAAAACAATAATTAATTTGAAATAATTTCAAGTAAATTCCTAACTATGCAAGTAAAAAAAATTAAACAAATTGAAATTAAAATTCCTACAAATTCATTCGTGCAATAAAAGAACTGACTAAGGATAAGTTTAAAGATTCTTAGTGTTAATAAAATTGGCAGCCACAGGAATTTTTACCAGCTCAATCGCTCTTGTAATTATAAAAAAAAAACAACATCGCTGTTTTAAATATTCGTGCGTCGTCCAATAAAAACACCAACTACAACAATAAAATTAACAGCAATACTACAAACATGGAACGCGCTTTGTCGATTTTGTTGTGCCTCATCTTAACAACGTTGCAGTTTATTTCAACACACGAACACGGTGATGGCTTTAAACCAGGTAAATACTGTACATACATATATATAAACACACATTTAATTTTTTAAGAGATAAATATGTAAGCAGTTATATATATATATTCTCTTCTGAAAAGTTGACGTATAGTTATTTTGGTAAAGACTATTTTCCACCCCTTTACCCCTCAATGATTCCGACAATATTTTTTTTTTTAATTTATGATTTCAATTGTCGAAAATATGCTAATGCTTATGCAATCTTATCATTAATATTTTTTCCTTAAAAAAATGTGTTCAGTTCTAAATATATATATTTTTTAATAGCATAAAAATATCTAGACTAAACTGAGGCGATTTCATAATTTTTTCCAACAAAAACAAATTTTTACATTACAAATTTACAAATTTTTTATTTATTTTATTTGGGAAGATTTTTTTTTTTATTTTGGTAAAAATAAATTTTTTCTAAAAAAAAAAATCTAAAATCCTTAGAAATTTATTATTTGCAAAAACAGAAATATTTTCACAAAGAAGATATATTTAGTTATATAATTTTCTCAAGCACAAATAGTATCTATTATTAATTTTAATTAAATTAAAATTATTATTTTAGGGAAGAAATATAACTTTCCCCAAAACATTATTCCTCCCAAAAAATATTCGATATCCAAAAATATTTTTTCCTATATAAATTTGGTTAAATATTTTTTTTTCGAAAATATATAGTATTTTCTCTTAAAACGATGTTGTTTTTCTCAAATCATCAAAACTCAAATTTTACTTAAAAAGAAAAAAGTAAAAATTGGTATTTTTGCTGAAAACAAATTTATCACTACGAAAATAATAATTATTTCTCAAAAAAAACCTCAAAATAAAGTTTTCCAAACAACTTTTTTGATGTCTGGTAATTTTTGCAATTTTTTATGAAATATTTTGTTCTCAAGAAAATGGTATTTTCCAATAAATGGTAAGTTTTTTATAGTTTTGATAAAAATTTATTTATATTTTTTTTAAAAAATTTTTCCTAAAATACCTGAAAATTAAAAAAAAATTAAAAATATGTAAATATTATTTACCAAATGTTTAGGTAATTTTGTTCTCAAATATTTTTCATAAAATTATAATATGAAATTATAAAAGCCTACATACATAATCGCCAAAATGCTTACACTATTCTTATGAGTGCAGAACTTTTTAGGAAACATGTTTCCCTTGGGTGTTGAAGCGGTTAACAGAACAGCAATTTCAGGCGCTTGTTGCCATATTTAAAATAGTAGTTCTTTAAACCTTTTTTTTCATATTGGATTACTTCTACACAGACGGGGACTGCTATTCAAATGCTACTTAGCCTACACCGGAAGTTTTGATTTGCTTGAACCCCAACAAATCTTTTTTGAGAAAGCTATGAAAGCTAGTAAATGAAGAAATACTAGTTGGTTGTTTATTGTCCTAAAAAAGTTCTGAGTCAGGTTATTTCTCATTCTGGTTAGCTAATTTTAGAAAGATTTTCCAATTAACTCATTCCATTAGTGCAGATAAAAATAGAGTTGACCAAGAGAATAAGATGTCAGTGTCAAAACAAATTATATCCCTCAAAAAGTGCAGTACATATTAACATTCTTACATACCGCTGTGTATTTGAAACTTTCTGCACATTTACAGCAGCATTTTCACAAAGCTTTCAATTAAGTAGAAATGGTTACTTTGAGCACCAAAGCTGCGCACATAATGCCACCAACAAACAGTGCAATCAAGCGCCAGAGCTGTAAACAATTGCCTGTTGACGATGACAACAAAATCTAATTAACTCAGCTAATTCCCAAAATGGCTACAAAGGTTGTCATAACAGTGAATACGAAGGGAAATGAGTGAAGTAACTATGTTTAAGGGTACTTGCTTGTTGTTGACCTGCGTTAAAAAGTGTTTACAAAAGCGGCAAAATTGCAAGGGAAAATATGAAGGAGAGATGGACGTAAAGTAGCTGCGCTACATTTTATGTAACTGCTTTTAATCTACATACAGAGCAAGGCACAATTTTTGCATTCACAAATTATTATTTTACAGAAAATACTTTGTCGGTTTTGTTTTTGCCAAGAAAGTTTTTTAATTATTTTGAGGGTATTCTTCCTAATACGATTTGGGAAGATTCACTAAGGCAGTAAGGGCGCGGTCAGACTTGGCAAGGTAATTAATTTCGAAAATCTTGCTAAATCAAAAAATTTCGAAAAGTTATTGCAAGGCGTAGTCGCACCATGCATGTAATACTAATTTCACACAGAAATTTAATTATTTTTAATTTGAAAGTACGTTTGGTACAAGCACACCATTTTAGGTATATTTGGGACGTTGCCAAAGAACTTTTTCCTTATTTTTTCTTTGATATTTAAATGCATTTTCTAGTTTTTTAACTTGTGAAATTGCTTCTCTTCTTTGTGAGGGAGCATACAATTGATACCTTCTAAAGGGTGGTCAAAGCAACGTAACTGTTATTTATTGCGCCATATATTTGGACAGACAATATTTATTTTTAAAACGTCACATCGAAGAACTCGGAAGGAAGCTTTTCTAAAATAAACTTTTGTCTCGAACTGCTCGAAGAGATTCTTTATTTTTATAAACAAAATTTAATGTGAGTCGAAAAATACATATAAAATACAGAAGGGATGTAACCCTATATTTTTTAATATATATGTACTTATAAAAATATATATGTACTCCTTGGAAACTTTACCTACTTATGGGTAAAGTTTTTCCTCCAATTAGGTACAATTGGAAAACTAAATTTTCTATCCCTGATGGCCCAGAAACAAACAGCTGACCTCAATCTCAAACCTTAGCATACGCAGCAGGATTGCAGGAAAAATGCATTCAATTAGCGCTCAATTAAGCACAAATCGAGCAATTCAGGTAAATTTTGTATGTTAAATGGAGCTCAATTAGCGTCTTAATCGAGAAAGTTGGCTAATTTCCCGATTAACTGCCTGTCTGAAACAAGTATAAGGTTGATTGGTTTTAATTTCCACAAAGCGATACTAAATCACACAAATTCGCCATCACACGGCCATTAACAAAAAATCATAATGGTAGCTCTGAGTATTGCACAATATTTAAGTATAGTATTATGAGGTGCACTCTACAATAATTTGAGTTATGATTTTTTTACACCGAAGTTAAGAAAAATGAGTACATTACAAATTTAAAAATTTTCAAGTTTTTTTTCAGATTTTTTTGTGTATGCAGTTTTGTAGCGCATTAAATTTTAGTGGCTGTGCTTTACCGAAAGTTTAAATTTTCTGAAATAGCAGGAGAAAGTTAAAATTTCGAAGCTCTTTCAGAAAGCGATTTGAGAAATGGCGCTTTGCAAATTTTACTTCGAACTTAATTCTTGAAATGTGGCAGAAGGAAAATTTTCGAATGCTCAGGGGGGAAAGTAGACTTAAAATGTTGAAATCCGACAGTGCAATGTATTCAAAAGGTGATTTCATTGCCACATCTAGAGGCGCATTTATACTTTCAGCAAGCTAAACATGCAGCTTTAGTGAATATAAAAACAATCTCAATAAGTCACACTTTAGATGAAGTTGACTCTAAACCATAAATATACATAGATCTAAAGGATTTAGTTTTCGTAAGTGTACTTCTCATTAAATACAGTATATATACATTTTCAATTTGATTTTATTTTTTGCAATACGAAATGCTGCATAGGTTTTTAATTTTGTATAAGTCGGATTATAAAAACATATTGTCTGAATAACTCAACTTTAGCGCCATTTGCGGATTAATTTTCATAAAAGTATTTCCACTACCACTTGCAGCATACCTTTCTAATATTCACCAAAATCGGACCGGTAATAGGGAATTTCTGAATAACTCCACTTTAGCGCCATCTAGCGGATGCATTTTTCGTGAAAGTCGTTCTCATCAAGCATAAATACAGATTTTCTGAATAGCTCGGCTTATCCGCCACCTAGTGGATTAAAATATGACCTATGTCCGCGGCATTGGGCCAGGGATTATAGTGCATACTGTCCGAATTTTGTTGGAAAACTTTCATTCGTTTTTCAGCCAAGTTTTAAAAAAGACAACGGGACAATTTTTATATCTATTATAATTTTTATACATAATTTATAATATAATTAAATATAATTTTTTCTAGAATTTTTTTGTGTATCTATGCAATTTTGTAGCCCATTAAATTTTAGTATAATAAAGTGCGCATTTTAAGCTACTGCAAAATTGTGTTCGTTTTTTATATTTTTTATGTTGACGGCTTTTTGCACTTTTTTCTTGTGGAAGAAAATGCACAAAACCGTTTTCAAAGAAAATTAAAAAAAAATGTACGCCAGTTTAATACATAGACGCCTTATTATACATATGTACATATTCGCCATATTAAAACACCCCCCGTGGGCCCGCCACTGACTGACACGTAGTTTAACCCCCAAAACCCCCCCGCTGGATCCGCCACTGGTTCAGGTCCTTATTACTGCTACAGCCACTAGAACTCACAATGATAAAAAAAACTAATGGCAGTCAGTAGCGCAACTAATAAAACATGTATTGGATACAGGTTTACGTACTTTTGGTGGTATAAATAATGCACTATTTATTCTCGATAATTATACATATACAGATTTATAAATTTTAATTATTATTAGACGGAAAGGGAATTCTCTTTTTGAAAAATCCGGATAAATATATTTAATCGACTATATCGACTAATCATCCGGAAGAAGAATACTTTAAGGGGTGTAATGTGCGTAATAACAATGTTATGGTTTCAATCAAATTATTTTTTTCCGGACGAATAATTGAGAAATATATAGTAATCCGGACTTTCTGGACCACGACGTTTATAAGTAATAACCTTTCGATCTTGAGTTTGTTATAAAAGATAAAGAGAAAAAAAATTGCAATTTCTTTAATAAAAGTTTAAACCCCTAAAGGAACACTTTTGGCAATTCACATTTTCCAGTTAAAAACAAAGAAGCGTTCATAAGCCTAATTTCGCCGCTGCATTCATTATGGAAGTGACACAGT